GAACATGTGTGAAACAGCAGACAGGCATGTTTGGAGGATTGCCTGGTGGATAAAATCCACTGAGTGATCTCAGTGGTTAGGTGGGAGGAGTTCCAGCACCCCTTCCCCCAACTTCCCCTCAGGACTCAACCCATTCTTTGATGGGGTAATTAACAACGTCTCCATTTTAGGTAGAAGGCTACACCGACATTACTTCAAGCTCTTCTCTGCCACTACCACCCCGACCAAACAGTGCCTCTGAGCTCCAGCCACAGAGATTCTGGGGGGCTCTGGAGAGAAGCAGAGTCTTCCAGGGAAAACTGGCAAGTTTTGCTGAAGTAGTGTTGGCATGAAATAGATGGCAATGGCGAACAGCCACCAGCACCTCATAGTCATGGAGTGTCTGAGGGACAATTGGACATGGTCTGGCTGCAGGAGGGGTCACACGGTGCTGTCCATCCCAGCCTAGTCCTCGGGAGGCCAGGCTAGGACAGCCATTGCCGACTGGGGCTGCCCATTTCAAGAGCTTCCTTCAAGTACTCCTCTGGCCTGGGACACTGCTTGGGAGAGTGGGCGCCCCTGAAGGCTATTCCTGGCTCCCAGCCATACTTAGCACCCACCTCCCAGGAATGGGCTTCAAAACTCCTTGAGCCCCAACGATCAAGACCAAGCAGTAAGTAAGGACAATAGTCAGAGGTGCCACCGGGAGGGGAGCCTTGTTCACATCCGGGAGGATCAGGACAGGGCTGGGATCCTTGCATAGGTAGAAGAGGACACCAGCCAGGAGACAGAGCAGGGAAGCCCGGCCAGCTCCTCCTGCCCAGATCCCATGCCACAGGGTGCAGCCACAGACCCCAGAGACCCTGGCATGTAGCACCCTGTCTCTGGGGCATTTTAAGAAGCTAGTAGAAAACAGGATTCTTCAAAACCATAAGCCACCAATGCAAAACATTTAATGTTGATTCATTTTTCCTCCTCAATGAAAGCTTTTTCTTAAATGTCATGGCTGGATTTTTTCAAATGTGTCCAGACTGCCCATAAATCACTATCGTGCCCATACTGTACTTCACACACAGCATCTCATTGCACCTCTCACCACCATGGGTGGACACTCAAGGAGGTTGGCCAGCTTCTCAAGGGCTCCACAGGTGGAAGTGGAATCTCAAGTTCCTCTTGCTCTTAACTGCTAGGTACACAGCCTCCAGGTCCCCAGATTGCTAGGAGGTAGTTGGGACCCCGGTGAGAGGTGAAATTCAGTTCACTGCAGTACTTCAGGCCACAGGTGTGTCTCAAATTAATTTGTCCCAGGAATCAGGGAAGATGAGTAATTGAGACACAGCCTTATTCATTGACCTCATTCATCTTAAAGTTACCAGCAGTTAGGAAGTATCCATTCAAGAAATATAAAATTCATGCAAGAAATTCTCAATCTTGAATGTTAAATCCCATATGCACCTAAATGCTACTAATTTGTCCACTGCCAGGCAAAAACAAGACAGAACAAAACAAAAATGTGTAAGCTCCTGCCAAAGCCCTGAGTAAATCACGGGAAATCACTCAGAAGCCTTAATTGTGTACTTCTAGAAATCAGTTCCTAGATTTTTACAGTACTGTCCATTTAGTTCCAACCATTGGTTGGTGCCACAGGACTAAGGGTTGGCATACTTTGCTGTGGGATGAGAACCACAGCACAGTTACAAGTCCAAGGTATCTGTCCTAAGTCTGCCACAAATTGCTGAGTGTTTCTAGTTAGCCACTTCACTTTCCTGCGCCTCTGTTTCTCTCGTGGTAAAACAGAATCGGTGTTTCCCAGTCTTTTTCATGCGATGGCACACATAGAAACAAATAAAGCCCACTGGGGTGAACAGATAAGGTCCACTCAGGACACACCAAGAAGAACTATCTCAGGACACCTGTAGCTCATTTGTAGCATTCAGCTGGGAAGATTGATTGTTAAAGTATCACTAAAATTCGCAGTCTGTGCTACTTCCCAAATAATTTTTAGCAGGACTCCAAATGACTCCCTCATCCAACTTGCTGATCACTAGACTTCTACGTAGAATCTTGTAAAATTCTGAGATCACATCTCATAAATACAGAAACAAAGACTGTCTAGAGCAGATCCTATAGACCTGCTATAAGGTCCCACTAACAAGCTTGACTAAGTCTGTCAACCTTCTGAAGTTAGAACCAAGATGTTATGTGTGTGCAGGTTGTTCTTGGGAGATACCCACGGCTCTCAGCAAGTTATCCAAGGGGAGCCAATGTCAGAAAGGGCAGAACTTACTGCCGTCAGAGAAGCCTTATCTGTCCTTTAAGATGTATGGCTGTGTTTTCCAAATCCCAGATCCGAGCAGTGGTCTGACAATAGGAGAGTCTATTCAAACCTGAGAACACCAGCCCAGAGTTCAAGTATGTGAGACGGCTGTCCCCTTGAGAAAAGGAGCTCTTACATAGGACACAAAACACATTTTAACAAAAATAAAATTTAAATGTGCTGCTATAATTCATTAATATTATTACATTAATAAAACATCTTTAAAACTTTTCAACAAAAAGAAACTTAAGACAAAAATGGGAGACAGAAAAGCTTTTTGACTTAAAATTCTAGCTAAAGAATTCACCAACAGAGCTGGCCTCACAGGTTTCCAGAAGCTACCTTTTCTTCTGACAGGTTGGCTTTCTTCTTTCCTGACGGCCTCGACTGATGTCCTGTGAACTCGGTCATTCATTTATAAATGGTTGGTCACTGGAGAATCTGTTTACTAAAATTCATAGGCAGGCCAGGAGCCCCTCGAAGAGGGCATATCCCAGTCTCTGCTTCACTCTCCTGATGCCACAGCTGCTTCTGCCTCCTTTATCCTTTGGAGGGGAACATCTGGGAGGGAAAGGGAAGGATGCTGGGGACACCCCCAAATCAGAATGGCGGGGGGATTCACCAAATCCTCACCAAACTATAAGCCGGTGACCACTCACCCATTGTGGTCCAGATTCTACTGCCCAGGGGTCATTCGAGCGACCAGAGACGGTGCCACCTGCTCTCAGGTGACCCCCTGGCATGGCCAGGTCTCATGAGCCAGACACAAACGGACATTCTCCAGAGACCAACCCAGGGAAGAAAAGGCCAGCAGGGAGTGAGGGGACAGAGTGAGGAACAGATCAGCCACGATCGTTTTCCTCTTGGGAGCAATAGGAGAAACAGTTTATTTTAATTAAACTAGCAAATCCTCCAAGAGGAATTATGATCCTCATGTTGGAGAAATAAACTGAGATGCAAAAAAATTACAAACATCTGATTAGTACGGCAGTCGATGAGCTCATCACTTATGGGGCTGTCCGGAGATCAAGTGTCTGCTCTCCTCTCCGTAACCTTTCAAGTAGGAAAAAGGAAGGAAGAAAGGAAGAAGGGAGGGATGGACTAGGTAAGAATAATGGAACAAAAAGCAAATATTATGGATGAACCCTCAGGACATTATGCTCAGTGAAATAAGCCAGTCACAGAAGGACAAACACTGTATGATTCCACGCAGATGAGGTACCTTGTACTCAAAGCAGCACAGAGGTCACCAGGGGCTGGGGCCAGGGGCTGGGGCGCTAACGTTGAATGAGGACAGAGCTTCAGTTTAGGAAGATGAGAAAGTGCTGGAGAGGGACGGTGGTGATGGTTGCACAACAGGTGAGCATACCTAATGCCACTGAACCGTATGTGCACTTGGAAATAGTTAAGATGACACATTTTATGTTCATGTATTTTACCACAATTAAATTTTTATAAAGCAACTATTAAATAAAAAAGAGTGGCCCAATGTCAAGTCAAGGTAATAAACAAGTAGGATGATAAGCAAATGTGTCATGCTATGTCACCTTGCAACATAAATTCTTAAAGGAGAGGAGAGGGCTCTTTAGCACCTAAGAGCCCACCAGACACTGGGCACCAACCACTGCCTGTGGACGAGGGGCACAGTCTGCCCCAACCCGTCCTGCTCCCCACTGCATCCTGGGCCCACAGTTTTCCCAGCTCACCCTCCTGCCCCCACTCCCGCCACACCCACCCAGTCTGCCCATGGGCCGACTCCATTCCGGCCCCCACTGGCCACTCCTAAATAAGGGACTGTATCTAATTTCCTCAAGCTAGGATCTTGGAAAGTAGTGATGAAGGTTTACAGCTAATTTTTAGTATTAAAAAACTGTGTGAATCATTAAATCATACATTGACGAGGGCACACTGGCTCATTAGAAGCTTACATCACTTTCCTTGGACTAGAATTATATCATCTCTGTGTGCTAACTGCATCTCTCACATGCTGCTCACAATCCTGGTTGGTATAGCTGTCTGAAAAGAAAAGGAAACGAATTCTTTCTTACTTTGGTTTGACAGATACAGTCTCTCAAAGCATGGGCCCACTGGGAGGGTGACCAAAGGGCAGTGGTGGCCACACCCCAGTGTGTCCCCACTGGTCTAGGTGACCTCTAAGTCGCTTCCAGTAGCAATGTGCTAAGACCGTGGTCGCAGCTCTTCATCGGCACTGCCAGAGTGAGAGAGACACAGACAGACACAGCAGACGCTGCCCAAGGCCCAGGCCCATCACGCTGGACAGGCAAGGACTAAGTGTGGCACCCTCGCCAGCCCTCCCCAAACCCCAGACCGCTCTCCTGCCATCCCCTGACAGCCAAGGCTCCCGTCTCAGGCCCCGTGGGAGCCGTGGCAGGGGCAAACTTTCTGACATTTCAACTGTTACCTCCACAACCCCATGACCTGTTCCCAAGGGGCAGAAGTGCTGTGTCTACCCGGTGCTCAGCGAGTGCCCACAAGCATCCGTGAGCCACCAGGTTGAAGAGGGCCGTCTGGAAAAGCCATGTCTCTCCCTAAGGAAACAGCGCTGATCAAAGCAAATAAACAAACAAACAACGACAAACACAGACCCTCTCACGAGTCCATAACTACAAGCTTCAGGGGTGGACAGCCCCCGTGAAATGCATCCTCGTCCAGTGTGAGCCACCGCAGGATGACACACTCTCCATCAGTGGGTGACGAGCCCTGCACTGTCCTCCCTGCTGTCTGCCATGTGGCCGCAGGGCGTGTGCCGTAGCAGCTGGATGGGAGAACATGGCGGATACCTTCTGGGTGGCATGTGGTACCTCACTTTCTTCCAAAACGTGGACTTCGCACACTGCGACTGCTCCGTGACGTCCCCGCTCCACCGGACAGCCCCGTGCTTCTGCCTGATGTACTGAATCGACTCCGGCAAGGCCGTGTAGTCCTCGATTTTCTCCAGCTCAATCAGAATGACCTTGATCCCGTCCTGGACGAGGAGGGCATTGTAGACGGCGATTTGTTCTTCCGACATGTTGTTTAACAGGCCAAGGCCCAGCGATTCGGGAACCAGGATGACGATCAGCCTCCTGCACAGCCTGCTGTTTACATCAATGACATCGGCCACGGCTGGAAGCAGAGAAAGAAGATTCAGCAGAGCTCAAGATTAAAACGGCCCATGTCATAGTGCCACCGAGAATACCGCAGACGGGCTCTGAGAACACGGACTTTAAATGAACACGGCTTGGTCAGAAACGGAGTAGCAAAGATTTTTAACCTTTGCTACCTCCTCTGTGACACCTTCCTGGCTTTCCCTGAAGAACTGGTCCTCTGTGGGCGTGAAGCACCCTTTTTTGTGTGGTTCGTTGGTATGTCACTTTCCCCGGGCAACAAGTGTGTCTTCATGCCTGACTCTGTATTCCCAGACTAGCCGAAGGTCTGGTGTATATTAGATGATGAACACATTTTAAAAAAATAGATTTTAAAAGGATAGGAAAAATGTAGGTGGATCAAATATTGTATTAATCTTGTATTTGTGTTTTCCTCTTGTTCTTTATAGCTATTTAAGTGACCAGGATTTATACAACTAAAGTAGAAAGCAAATAGCATGCCCTGATGATTGCTTGGGGAGGGGAGGGGACAGTTCTTTAAATACCCAGCTCTGAGGGTGCTGTCAGGTCTGCAGATGCCTCTTGTAGGATATAAGAATTGCCTGTCGCCTCCCCAAGGACAGGTCTTCTGTTTGGCCGATGTTTGTATTTCTAGTGCCTAGAACGGTGTCCAGCATATAGAGGTTTTCAATAAATATTTGTTGAATGAGTGAGTGAATGACATTTCCTGGTGACTAGGAAATAAGGTTTATCTCAGATTTCAACCATTTTACTATATAGACTTCAAAGAAAGAAAAGAAAGGAGACAAGAGGGAACCGGTGTGTGGAGTGTCTAATGTGTGCTAAGCTCCACACTGGGCCCTTCTCATTTGACTCTCTCAGCTGAGCCAGGGAAGCATGCTTGTCCCCATTTTACAGATGAGGCAACTGAGGTTCGGAGATGTTCACGGAACTGCCCAAAGCCACATTCCTGTAAACTGGGAAAAGCAAATACAAAACTTCCATTTTATTTAGGTAGGGGAGGAGTGAGTGGGGTTGGACTTTATATAACAAGCTTTAAACACGACCTGATTTACATATTTAAATACTCAGCTGTTAGTCTCAGTGACATGAGGGCAAATGACCACTTGTCACCTTTCAGCCTTTTGGCCAAGACAACATCCCTGGCCACCTGTTCGTGTGAATGAGTTAACTACATGCTTACTCCAAAATGAGACTCACATTACTGCAACCACGAATCCCAGGATTGTGGTGCAGGAATGAGCCTTGTGAGGGCAGAGGACTCGGGTCTAACCTTCCTATGGTTCTCTGGGGAAGGTGAGCAGAGTCGCTGCCATCAGTACAGTGAAGGAAGAGAGAGGGTGCTCTCCTTTTTTTATTTGTTGTTTTTACACCTCACTTAAAACACACCTTGTCCAGGAAATTCATCCCTGCCAAATATAAATAACTTATATCCGCACTGCCTCTCCAGCACCTCAGGCAGGATCTTCAACACCAGTGTGTCCACAGCGTGGCTCTGGCTTTCTTGGTGAGGCTTGGGGTATAAGACATACGCATCATACAGCTTCCCATCTGCAAAGGAAATGGGACAAGCTTATGGAATGACTCCTACCACATTCTCTCATGTTAACGCAGTGAAAACCTGAGTTGCTACCATGACGTCCTTTGGCTTGGGTTCAAGGACTTCAGAGTGCTCAGTTGGCTGACTAGGCACTGACACACTGCAACATCTCATTCCCACAAATTGGCCGGCGGAGGAGGTGGTCTTATCCCCCAGCTGAGACTAGAAAGGTTGCATCACTTCTGCAAATCCTAATTCCACCCCAAGTCTTTTTATTCTATGTCCATCACTCCCTGTGACGTGGCTGGAAACAAGAATTAAAAGCAGGAGACTCTACCCACATTACCCTCAGCGGGTCCTGTGCAAAAGAGGACTGTTCTAACTGCACCAGGCAAAATGGGCGAATTCCTCTTCATTTAGATCCATCAGTGAATTCTGTCACTGCAATTTTGTGGACTTGCGTTGCAGAGAGAAAGAGCATCTGAGCAGATTCTAGGAATCTGCCGTGCCATGCTGAGAAGTGAAACCCAACAGTACATGTCATCCTTGTCAGAATGAGCAAGAATTTACTGAGCAACCACAACAACAGTCCCTGTGCTGGCCAATGCAAAGAGGAATGAGACACAAGATCTCACTGAGCAGATCGTTCGTATACACAGAAGTAAAACTCAAGGCTCCATGAGATGACAATAGCGAATGGAACAGAAAAGACAGCAAGAAAGGAAAATTCCCCATAGTCTGGAGTTCTTCGAAAAAAATCACAAAGGACCTGGGGCAGCTCCTGGATCTTAAATAGTGGGGAAGTTTTAGAAAACAGTGAGGGTCTAGAAGTGGAGGGTAAGTAGGCAACAGGCGAACGGCTTAAGGGAATGGAAGGGGAATATTTGGGCCCTGCTCAAGGGTCCTGTGAATGAATAAGGAACTTCAGCAGGGCAAGAGGGTTTAAGTGGGAGAAGAGGTTAACTGTGGTAAACCCATTAGAAAATGTGCTTTTGAGCCGCTTGGAAACTCAAAGCCAATCAAATCAGTCCCAGGAGAGGAGCTGTTCTTCTCTATTCCCTCTTCATGGTAGTTCATTCGATGAACAGACTTGGAGAAAAGGGCATTTCTAAGATTAACAAAAGAAGGCAAAAATCTTGCATTCTTCTAGTTTTTGTCTAAATAACAGAAGTTAAAATGTGTACAGAACTTTACAGTTTACATACGGCCTTTTCTCATTCCATCAATTCTCACACCAATCGCTGCCAACCTTCAGGCCTCTGCTCACCATTCTTGGCCAACCTGCAGAGAATGGTAATACACACACACGCACACACATGTACATGCATGCAACTGCACACACACATGCTCGTGCAGCTGCGCACACACGCATGCACACATATGCAGTCATACGCATACACCCATGTGTGCACACCAATTCATGCATGTGCACGCATGCACAGTCATACACATGTGCACACCCCAGTCATGAAGGGAAGCTGTGTGAGAGTGGGGACTTTGGCCTCCTGCTCTACCCTCAGCCCCTGGAGCAGGACCTGGTGAGGAGGAGGTCTCAATCAGCACCGGCCAAACGCCTGAATGCAGCTGGGCTTTACAGAGGCTCAAAGAGGTTCTATCTATGCTGAAGACAAGTCAGATTCAGCTTTTCAATGAAGTGGGGTCATCGGGCAAGTACAAACAGGATAATTAATTTGTGTCTGGAGTCGGCAAAAACCCCACCCAGCTAAAACTCCTATGGAATCTTAAAGGTCACTAGTCTGGGCCACCACTCAAATAAGTTGATATTTTTCTATATAAAATGTAATGTCACACATCTGACTTTTCAAAGCCAGAGAATTTTTTTTCTATATGTAAAAAAGAAATAAAAGAAACATTTCATAAAGTTCTTAGGTTTCTGAATTTTGGAGAAGGAATTAAATTTTCCCATTTAAAAATTTGATCATTTTTATCCTTTTGTTCTGATGAAGGGCTGGTTGAGTTCGTGCTACGTTTACCACAGAGCAGCCTCTTGGGTACATATGACATTTGTGGTCTCCGACCTACAGCCGCCATTCCGGTTTATCACCACCTTGTCCCAGGCCCTGCCCACTAGTATCTCTCTTCTGTCAATCTGTTTCTCTTTTTTCCCACTGCCTCTGATCATAAAACAAACAAACAAGCAAACAAACCACTTTTGCTAAGTATATTCTCTTTTGCTAAAGTTCCATGTTCCCTATTTCTAAGCAAAGTGTCTGAGGCTACAGGGACTTGCCACTGCCCAAACTCAGGAACAGAAGAGATCTGATAGTGAGAAAGCCTTTTAAAAACTCAAATATAAAAATGCCCTCAATTTTTTTTAAATATTTTTTTCTTTCTTTCTGACTAAGCTTTTGAATAGAAACAGGACTTGCCGACTTGTTCTCAAAGTGCGATGGGTTTCCATCACTTTCAAATGACTAATTCATAATGTACTGACCAATAATGGCCAAAGATCACGTTGTAGTCATTTTGCCTTTTGCATCAACACTCTGATTTTGAAGGGCCTTGTCGGGCGACAGCACCCCGGCATTGCCTGCCTTTTCCTCTCACAACCAACTGTGAGGGACACAATTGTAGCATCAGATGATGAGTAAGGAAGCTGAGGCCAACACGGCTGCATGAGCTCTCCAAAGTCCCCCAGCTAGTAAGTGCACAGCCTGGATCCGAAGCCAGGTTCACCGTCCCCTCCCTCTGGCGTGGCTAAAAGGAGAAATGGGAGCAGGAAACTTCACAAAGCTTATCCCCATTAGTCTTACGCAACTGCGTCAGATTGAATTTTCCAAAAATAGACCCAGCAATATTTCCAGTCCCACGTGTGCTTTCAGAACTTTGCCACACCCCTACAAAGGGGCAGGATTTATTTCCATTCCCTTAAAATTGGATGCCCTGATTGGCAGTTGGCAAAAAAAATACAAAAGCTCATTCATATAAAGATTTATGAAACGTTGCCTAAAGATTATTCAATTCCCTATTTTCTCTCAATATGATATCACTGAATTTTAGGTCTAATCAAACCAGACCAGTGGAAAACAAGACAGATTCAATCTGGCCTTCACGAAAATGCTTTTACTGAATTGCATAAGGTTTAGTGGTTTTAGCCCCAACATACATAGAAGACATTAGACGAAAAGTCACATAGAACATGCTGTTACATTTAATGGGAATGTCATTGCAGACAAGGTTCCTTATACCAAATCCTTTAAAAATGAGGACTCCCTACAAAAACAAACAAACAAACAAAAATCTCCCTTTGGAAATTAGTACTGGAAAAAGTCATGTTTTTCATGAGCAATTGAAAGCTTTTTGGGAACAGCACACAATAGGTCTTGGAGTCGCCTGTGCTTTAGCTTTGAAGGCAAATTCACTTTTAAAAACTGTGCAAGACTTGTTGCTAACTCTACCCTGATTTGTCTTCTACTTTTGATTTCCCTTTGTTCGCTGTGCCTGTTTTGTTTTGCTTTGTTTTACCCATTCTATCCTACATGTACATTTTCCACAGACCTGTTTGGAATAAGGTGAGGCATATACAAATCTCTCTTACACATCTGTAAACTGGCCTTTCCATTCTTGTACAAGCGTGTACACCTGAGAGGAGAATTTGAAAAGTACCTATGATTTGCTAGAGAATATCTAGAACTTGCAACTTCAGCCTTTCAATGGCTCTTACTAAAATGTGAGTCATACACACCTAACTATTAATTGTATTACAAAGCTTAACTAGCCTCGTTGGGGTGAACAGCTTACAAGAAGGATATAATTGCTCTCCCTTCCTCATTTGTATTTGTCATCTATTGCTTGGATGTGACCAGATAGCCCAGAAGACATCCTCAAGGGGAACAAAGCCGTAAACAGGATCTGGGACTAATCTCAGAGTCTCATCACTAGCTCACTGTTACGGCCAACACCCAAGAGACATTACAGCGTAGTTCTCATAGATGGAGCTGCAGAGAATTTAATCACAAAGTGCACACGTACTTTTCTGAATTAAAAAACAAATAATAAGAATAAGGAAAAAGAGGACCACTGGCTGCATGTCAGCCCCAATCTCCAAATACTCAGCCCACTGCTGCAGAATTTTGGCAGCAGCCCAGTCCCAGCAGAGGGCGGGGCTCCCCTTCTCGGGTGAGTCACTATTCCCTTTTTCTCTTCTTACCCAACTCAACCTCACTGGCAGCTTCACCAAGCACTCTGCTCAACAATGATAAGTCACAGCCGTAGTCACACTCCTGGGAGTTGCAGTGACTCAGGGAGAGAGACACACCACGGGGCCAGAGCTTCCGGGAAGACCACGGACAGCGACGCAGGCCTCTGTTAGTCAAAAACCAGAAAGCAGCCAAACTACTCACATCTGCGTCAGAAAAAATAAGTGGTGGTGGACTGAGTTGCCTTCTTCTCAAAGACGCAGGCAGGACCGCAGTCACGGGTGGGCACAGACAGGGCCAGCCTCTGCAGGGACGGCACGCCCCACCAGGCTATGTGCAGCCCTTCAGGTTGCGCTGGACATGCAAGGCCCAAACGAATTTTACTGTTAAAAAGGAGTGCGTTGCTTTCTGTGTTGCTCAAGGGTTGCTAGTTTTGAATTCTGAAATTTAATTTGGAATAAAGTCTATGTTAGGACATCTATGTTTTATCAAACATGTGGACAAGAACTTGTGCCATTTATGCTATGTGCAAAGCAGGTGCTTAGTGTCAACGACCTCTTCTGGGCGTTAGTGACTCACACAGCTTGCCCGGACACCTGGTCCCCCACTTTCCCACTCTTATCGCTGCACGTCTCTGGACTTGAAAGGCATAAATGTGTGCATCTCCCTGCATGTCAGCCGCACAGGCTTCTTTGGGCTTTATATTAATGTTCCCATCTAATTAGGGGACACCAAAGCAGAATGTATTACTTTCTTCAAGGCCATAATAGAACAAATCCATTCTGAAATAAAAAAGAAAGTAGCACAAAAAGTTACAACCACCATGGTGGGAAATGCCTGTGCTCAGAGTTTCAGGCTCACACTGAGGCATTTCTGTGTCAAACAGCATTGGCAGGACATGGGCACCACTAAGACTAAGACTCCAGAGCACAGCGGTGGGGGGTGGCTTGCTTTGATCTCCAGACAAGCAACGGACACCCCTGTGTCCCAGACCCCTGCTGAATGTGCTCCTGTACTTCAGCTCGGTTACTCCTACGGCAGTCTCAGTGAAGCAGGGTTTGATCATTTCCCTCCCTTCCTTCCTTCCTTCCTTCCTTCCCCCTTCCTTCTTTCCTTCCTTGCTTCCTTTCCTTTCTTTCGTCCTTCCTTTCCTTCCTTCCTTTCCTTCCTTTCTTCCTTCCTTTCCTTCCTTCCTTCCTTCTTTCCTTCCTTCCTTTCTTCCTTTCTTCCTTCCTTCTTTCCTCTATTCCTTTCTCAAGCTGAGAAAGAAAAGAAAGTTAAATGTGGGGGCTATCTGGAAGGTGTCCAGCCATTGCTAACATAATGAGAACATATTACACAGCTGGATACTTTCCAGACAGCCTTCGTATCTATCTAAATTTACACAGGGAGTAGTGGAGAACTCACATTCAAACCTGAGTCCATCTCTCTCCAAATCTGAGAGTGAGAGACTTAAATTCCTTCAGGCACCAAGAACAGGGCCTACAAAGAGCCACCACCACAGGCTGCTCATCACTCCCCCTGATATACGCTCTAGGTAGGCACCGCTGTGCTGCGGATACGCCATGGGCAGGGAGCACTCTGCTCTTGGAGAAATTTCCTCCAGTGGATGGAAGGTGCATGAGAGAACCTTTGTACCATGGTCGCAGTAGGGCCCAGAAGAAGATCTCCTCCTGCTGCTGCACAAATGTGGACTGGGGCCCTAAGAACCTACAAGCTTTATTTGTCAGGATAATGCTGGTGATCACAGACAGATCCTTTCTCTGAAGCATGGGAAGTCCCAGGAAGATTCCTTCCTCTAAATTTGCCAAGTATATTTAAAATGGTTGTATGGATAACAGGATACCAATTTTGAGGCATTTTTTGGTGATTACACACACTTACCTTCCGTGGTCCCAGCAGAACGGAAGGCACTTCTATACCAAAGTACAACATCAATCTTGAAAATGTTGTACAGCCACACGACAGACACAGCCACAGCAGTCAAGGCGACAAGCCCACCTATCAAGTAAGCTCGAAAATCTGGAGCTGCCAACGACACATAAAAATAAAATAATAATGATGGTACCAAGAGTCAATTGCTCATACAGATCACATTGTACATGACCAGGGCACATGCATTAGATGTCAGTGAGGGCACTGCTGAACAATCTCTTTAAAGTTAAATGGTAAGCATGAGAGTAGAATAATCTGATCTGGACCATAATGTTAGGAAAAAAATGGGCTCTGGCAAACCTATGAGAGGAACACTCTGCAGAGCCCCAGTTACCGATGGTAGATGCAGCACGGACCCCACTGCACGAGGACTGCTTTCAAAACACACACGTCCAGGTTCTACTGAGTCAGCACAAGACAGTCCAAAGGCGAAGCCCAAGTGTGTTTATTTGGATCAGTCCCCAGGTGGTTCTGTTGCACATTCTTGATTACAGTACTGCTGTAACCACTCCCCTGCTTACTCCAAACTGAACAGGACTCCTGTCATAAATAAAGAGCCACCAGTTGTCTCCCTGGAAGCCACCACTGCCAGCACTGGCCGAGAGACAACCCTCACCCAATCCTCTCTGTGCCACCAGCTCCCCGGGTGCCTGGCGGAGACATGCAGCCTCCGAAAGGGTGTTCACATCCTCCTCCGCCTCGTGAGCCCTGCAGAGCAATGACGAGCCCCAGTGGTGGGCAGGAGCTGACAAGGAGCAGAACCAGTTCCTCTGGAACCCCAAGTCCCTGAAAACATGCTCCTTCACGTCCCAGAAGAGGAACAGCACAGCTTGCTGCCTCACCACAGCCCACACCTGTGCTGCCCAAGAAGGAGAGGATTAGAAAAGAGGAAGGAGGAGAGAGGAAGAGAAATCCTCCTCATTCTCAGAACCCACCTCAGCCACCACTTCCTCCGTCAGCCCTCCCTGCTGCCCCAGGCCTCAGTAGATGGCGAGTGGACAGAAGGAGAGGAAGAGCAGGTTCTTTTTCCTGAAACCCCAGGAAATTTTTATGGCACATAATAGTTGTACATATTTATGGGACACATGTGATATTTTGATACAAGCATATAATGTGTAATGATCAAATCAGGGTAATTGGGGTATCCATCACCCCAAGCATTTATCATTTCTTTGTGTTGAGGACATTCCAAATCTACTCCTCTAGTTATTCTGAAATACACAATAAATTATTGTTAACTGTAGTCGTCCTGTTGTCCTACTGAACTCTAGATCGTATTCCTTCATCTAAGCATATTTTTGTGTTCATTTATCAACCTCTCTTCATCCCCTCCAACTACCCTTCTGAGCTTCTTGTAACCATCATTCTACTCTCCACCTCCATGAAATTAATTTTTTTAGCTCCCACATATGGGTGAGAACATATCATATTTGTTTTTCTGTGACTGGCTTATTTCACCTACGTAATGTCCACCAGCTCCATCCCTGTTGTTGCAAATGACAGGATTGCATTCTTTTACATGGCTGAGTAGTATTCCATTGTGTATACATACGTACTACATTTTCTGTATCTGCCCATCCCTTGACAGACACTTAAGTCGATTGCATATCTTGGCTATTGTGACTAGTGCTGCAATAAACATGGGTGTGCAGATATCTCTTTGATATAGTGATTTCCTTTCTCTGGGATATATACCTAGTAGTGGGATTACTGGATCATGTGGTAGTTCTATTTGTAGTTATCTGAGGCTCCTCCATACTGTTTTTCACAATGGCTGTAAAATACTCATTAAGAAGCTTATCACAACCTGCCCTAGGCCACACCATGTTGTAAACATCTTGAGGCTCCCAATTTCCCATTTACTATTGCATGTCTTTAAATATATGGCACAATAAAGCACAGTAACTAAATACACATTTGGTGCCAAAAACAAAAAAACAGAAAAACCAATCCATTGACTTAAGTCCCAGTGCAGCCAGGGTAGAGCCACTATTCTACACGACAGTGCCCAATCCAATCCTGATCACTTGTGAGAACCGCTAGCTTCTAATTATAAGATGGAGTCTTCCCTCCTTCCCATATTCTGCTCCCCTTGGCCCTTCCTCAGCTCTTGTTATCATTCCTCATGGAGCAACACTGCCACCTCTCCCTTTGGGAAGATCCATGTCTGGGAAGCTTTAATGTATAATTCAGAGATCCTGGCATTATAAACTGTCATGATGGGAAGGCCATGCCCACAATATTAATGAGACTCAAAACGCCCCTGGCAAGTAGACAGGAGTGGTCTGAAATCCTCGGGTTCGGCATCATTGCATTCACGAGTATTGATACCCGCTGCTCTGTAAATGAGCCAAAGGATGATAAAACTGGAAACAGGACATTAATAAATAAGTTCAAAGGGAGTAGGGGCTTTGAAATAGAAGTAAATGGAGGACTCATTGTCGATGCACCAGAAGCCCTGTTAAGGGTGGTGTTCGCCATTTGAGTCCACCTGGCTACCACCAGCCTTCGACTGAGATGGGAGGTGAGAACAAGGGATGAAACAAAATTAACAGAAAGGCACAGCTGATCTAAACAACTTGGTTGTTTCCAATCTGATTCCAATCTGGAGGGGTCCTCAGCAAGAACAGGGAAGTCAAATGGAGAAGCTGTAAACTTAACTCTGCCCTCAAGTAAACCACAAAAGGCTGGAAGTTAAGAGAGTGAAGTTCCTAAGAACTCAGGGCAAACAAAACAAAGGGCACATGACCAAAAATATGCTGCACGTGAGATGTGAAATGAGTGTTGGCAGAAACAAAGATGAATTGACTAAGTAGGAGCTTCTTAGCCGGCCAAAAACAGAGAAAGGACCCTCTGCCTCCTTCCAGAAGACTGACAGGTGTTAACTGGTAGTAACATTAGTTCACCTGTGCTTGGACTTGGCCTCAGAATCCTTCTGAACACAGCACTTCCAGGTAGTCCTTACCAATTAGTCAGTATTGGCATGGAAATTTACAGTGGCCAGCGTCAGTCTAGGTTACTAAATAAAGAACTCAAACGTCTAGGTTGAGGCAGATTTAAGTTGTAACCACCTCAGGTCTCATGGAATCTCCAAGGATTCCTACAGGCAGCTTCCCCTCTTTTCTCTGGGGTGGACCTTGGATCACTCTCCAGGACCTAAACCAGGCTGCATTTCCTCTGCATTGGGGAGTGAGAGGGGAGGAGGTACCAGCAGGTTCTGTCTTTCAGCAGGTGGAAAACAACCCTGTCTCCACTGGCCCACTGCACATTTCTACACCAGCCTCAGAGTCACCTCCTTCATCACAATATGGGGCCCACAGAAGACAACCTCCGTCTCTGATCTGATTCTCTCTTCCGCAGGGCAGATGAAGGCCACGACTGAGAAACGAGTGGGAACAGGTAGACCAGAGAGGCCTTAATGCCAAACCAGGAGTTTCAATTTCAACCCAGAGGTAAGGAGGTGGCACTAATTAATGTCCAGGCAGGGGAGTGGCAGAGTCATGGCCACCACTGGAGAAGATAACTCTGCAACAGTCACCAGAACAGACTGGACCAGAGAAAATTCTCAAGGCAAGGAAACTGCTTAGAAAATTAACATAATCATCCAAACAGCACATCATAATGGCTGGAACCTGGTTGGTACTAATGAAAATAAACACAATTTTTTAAAACTCATGACATGTCAGGTTCTGTTCTTGTTTTACAAAATCATCTCATTATATTCTTTCATATAATGCTACCCCTAGCAGTAAATACGGGTGAATCACACTGGAGAACAATATGGCATTGTATGGAAATATTCACAGACTCTCGTGGCAATTCTACTCCTAATGATGTATCATAGAGGAATGCGTCTACATGGGTACCAGGACACACGAACAGAGATTCTCATAGCAGTGTTATTTGTTAATAGTTCCAAACCAGAAACAACTCAAATGACCATGTATTTATGGCAGAATGGATAAATCATGAACTGGTTATTCAATGGAATAGGCTTGAGCAATGTAAATGAATGACACTGCATGCCACACCACTGACGCACCAATGAGCCCCCTACACCTAGGAAAAGAAAACATGCTATATGATTCTCTTAATATACAGCTCAAAGCAGGCAAAACTAAACTATATTTTTTGGGATTTCAACACAGAAAATCAAAGAAAAGACTTCCCTAAAAGTCGGAGGAATGATTATCTGGAGAGAGGGGAGAGATGCTTTGATCAGGAAGGACACACAGAGCTTTTCAGGTCTGGCAAGGTGTTTTTATTAATCTAGGAGGCTTCACATATGTTTGCTATCAATTATTTATGTGATATGTATATTCTGTGTGTCCTTTACTACACATATGCTAAATTTCACAATAAAAGTGAAAAGGAAGATCCCAATTGATTCTCACAAGAACCCTCAAAAGAAGGCCTTATTGCAATCCTTATTTTTCAGGTAAGGAGTTGTAGGCACAGAGAGGTTGAGCAACAATGCTGAGCTCACACAGCTCATAAATGGACAAACCAGGATCTGAGCCCAGAAACCTGGCCCTTAAAGTCCTGGGTAGGAGCTACACTCCCCGGACCCAGTTCGCTGGTGGGAGTAGACAGGAGGGTCAGATGCAGCAGGACAGCCCTGGGGAGGAGGAGCCCACAGAATTTGGCATCCCATTGGGTGTTGGCATGAGGGAGGTGAAGAGAAGGCATCAAAATGAACCAGATTTTGAGGCTAGAAAATGCAGAAAATATAAGCGTCCCATTAACAAAGGTAAGAAAAGCAGAAAGAACCAGGAGGCTTGACAGCTTAAATCTGCTTTCAGACTTTAGCCAATATATCTGCAGTACACACGTGGATACATTTCTATGTAATGCCATGCTGTTCTCCAGTGTGACTCACCAATATTTACTGCCAGAAGTAGAGTTATATGAGAGGATCAAATGAGATAATTTTTAAAGCACAGTTGGAAATGCAGGGCTGTCATGAGGAAAGAGAGAATACAGCCGGAGATTTGGAATTTGTTTGCACCTACTCAGGATGACAGTTGATGCCACCAAGGGAAAGGAGATCATCAGGGATGACGATGCAGAAAGAAAAGCACCACCGATGACGGGACCTCAAGAATCACCCAGAGGTGCCAGAGAGAGAGATGGGATGCACAGGAGTGACGAGCGCAAAGTGATCACAAGTGACTCTCGGGGACAAGGACAAGCCAGTGAGAAGAGGAAGAATGGGGAGTGGTGGCAGACGGGCCTGGGGGTGCTTCCACGCGATGTAACTCAAGAGGGTTCCCCACGGGCCCGGGCTGAGGAGAGGTGCTGTGCTCACTCACAGTTAGGGCTGCTGGCGCCAGCGTGACCTTGATCTCCAGGGCACAGAAGTGAGGTGGAGGAGGCGCACACCAAGAACCGCACGCTGCTGTGCACGTACCCATATTCTAAGGGAGGTGACAGACGCTGACAAAAGTCAGGAGCTTGGCAGGGGCACAGGCACATCTGCTAGCTCCATACAGCAACCATGATGTTTTCTGTTAAGTTCTAGAAAAACGTTTCTGGTGGGACTTTAGCTAGATGCATGGTTTAACTGATCATTACGGGACACTAGCAAATTCAAGCCCTCTCTCTTGCATGTGGCTAGCCTCCCACCCCACACACACACAAAATGATTTTAATAGAATGAGAGGGAAGAAAACAGGCTTAGAAAGCCACCTGCATTTTATAAGGTATTTCAGACACTTCCCCTGCTGTGTTACGAATTTTAAAGTTGTTCTCAAGATTCTGACTGCCACTATCTATTCTCTGGCTTTATTACTTCCAGTGGACAATAGATAAGGTCTGTACAGAGCTAGGAGCACAATTTGGATACACAAAAGAGTTGGGAGCCCTCCTGCTCGAATATCAGAATTCAGCCTCAGATAATTTTGCAAAATTACATGGTAAAAATATACAGAATCATTTTATCTGTATATCAAATTATTTATAATAAACAATCTAAAAGCTGAAAATCACAAACAAATGGCTATAAAAGGTGAGCGATCAGGCTTAATAAAGGATAATTTCTGTTTTCTTTCTGTTTTGATGTTTAAAATCTCAATATATATTAATATGGCACTCCCAAAATACACTAAATAAGATCACAGCCTCTCTCTGAGAACATTATCAGACATCGCGTGAGCTTTTTCCAAAATTTCAAACGTAGTTTCTCCTTTTAATACCACCCTGTCAGCGCGACCGAGCATTTAATGTCACTTCTCTTTCAGATGCATTTCCTGGCCATCCTTTTAAACACTCTGAACAGTATGTCGCCCACGGGGACATTACCTGGGAGCTGTAACATAATGTATGCTGTGGACACTCCTGCGTGACACATGAAAGGAAGGCCATAATCTTCCATTTTCACTTCTAAGAAGGTTATGTTTACCGTGTACAAATTATGTTCCTGAAAAGGAACATGGGTTCTATAAAAGAAAAGAGCCAGTCATTAATACACGAGGCATATTTACCCGACATGTTTTGTAATCTTTTTTCTGGAGGTAAATTTTTTTCTTGGAGAATACTTTGGGCCATCATTTTACCCTAAGAATACCTCGCTGAGTGGCCCAGTGAAGTATGTCATTTGTATAGTTCCAAATTTGCATTTTTTTTCTGGACGGTGACAAGTAAGTGTGGTTCTGTTAGCTACAGACACCATCCCCAGCCCCCAAAGGGCTGTCCCCTGTTCTCTCCACACGTCCTCACTTAGCTACACTGCAAGGCCCAACACAAATTCTCTGCCCTCTGACTTCACTGACTTCACTACACCACTCAATGCATACCACCATAAACTAAGTTTATACACTCAGGTAGCTAATGATTATGCAATATCTCCCCCAAGAGTCCCTGTGCTGGCGCTTGTTTTGCTATTTAAGCCTTGGTTCATGGTATCACTGAATGGGGACTGATTTTAAGCAATGGCTGGGAGAAATGATCTTATTGTTCTGTGGCACATTCATCTTCTGCCACATCTCCCTAACTATGTCGTAGGCAGGACTGAGAACACGAGCATCTCACACATCTTTAAATCAGATGCTTGGCCAGGCACAACACTGCGAAGATCTTTGAAGGACAAAGCCAAAAGGAGTGATTTTTTAACTCCCATCTAAAAAAAGCAGTAGTTACACCAAATTAATTAGGATGGAGAAATTCTTGCTAGCTGTTAGTGAAGCCAGAAAAGCAAACCCCCTACTCGATTCCTTCTGCGATTCGTTTGGATTCGCTGTAGTAATCGTCCACCAAAGTGTTATTGACTCTCCAGCATCGCAGGTTTGTGTTATCCTTCGTGTCGGTTATGTTGCAGTCCACGATAAGGGTGGAGCCTACGAGAATAAAATCCGTAAATATTCAATGAAAATTCTACAAATTTTCAAATTTGTTAACACCTGGTTGATAAATGCACCTTACTCTTTGAGCCTTAATATCTTTTGATTATCAGAAATACCCCACTGAGTCAACGTTAATCGACTTCACTCTCGTCCTGGACAGAAGCCATAGGGGACAAGTGGCCTTCCAGGACAGCTGTTGTAAAGAGACAGGCATAAGCTGCCACACATCACCAGCTTCTGCCGAATGTTTTCCACAATAGCAGGTGCACAAACCTACTTCTACTCCTAGTAACACTAGCAAAGACCTTTATAGTTGGTAAAGTATTTTATGCACATTTTCTCCTTCAGTATTTATATCTTCAAAACAATCCCATAAGGCAGAAAAAGGGGAGGTGTTGTTATCCCCATGTTACAGGTGAGGAAATTGAAGTCCAGATAGGACAGATTGAGTGACTTGTCTAAGGTCACACATTAATGAGAGGAAGAAATGAGACGTGAATTCAAGATTTCTAATTTTGAATCCAGTGATGTTTCTATTCCACCGAATGCGACTCTCCGCCCTTCCCCCACTTGTCCCTCATCTTGCCTTCACACACATTCACAAGTTATATTTCATAAATTTATATTTTCACTTCATTTTGCCCCATGAGCCTGGTAAATCCTAAGTTTCAAGGAATGTTCTTTCTTCTAGGTGGTATTTAAAAAAATTTATTGTGAAATGTAACACACATATAGTAAAAAGTATAGAATATAAATGTAAAGTTAATGGATTATCACAAAGCAAGTATCCATACCACTTTCACCCCATCAGGAAAATAGTATATTGCCGGAATCCCAGAAGCCTCACGCATATTCATATCACAAACGTAGCCATCACTCACGTATTCATCCCTGAACTCCAGCTTCCACTGCTCAAGATCTGCGTGTGAGACTCATCCATGCTGTTGCATGTAGTTATACTTCCTTCAGAAAATGGAATATACTACTATTTATTTCTTCTATGTTGCTGTATACACATTTGCATTATTTCTTGCATTTGCCTCGTGTGTCCACAGTCCTCGCTCTTGCACAAACTCATGCATGTCTCCTGGGGCACACGTGTACACATTTCATGTATACATACTCAGATACATGATGGGTACACACTCCCATCTACCAGTCATACTTGTGGATGATGGATTATGCAAGTCTTCAACTTCAAATGATGGAGCCAAACTGTTTTCTAATGAAGTTGTACCAATTTACACTTCCACCAGCAGTGTGTGAGCATTCCTGTTACTTTATATACTCAGCAATACTTGGTCAGTCTCCTCCATTTTAGCCATCTTGATTTGTGTGCTGGTATCACACTGTGAATTTAATTTGCATTTCCTTAGATTGCACTGAGATGAGCACCTTTTTATATTTTTATTGGCCATGTGAATAGCCTCTGTCGTGAACCGTCATTCATCTATCCTTCTACCAGCTTGTCTTTTCCTAATTTATTTGGCGGAGTTTTTCATAGATTATGGATATGATACATTTGTTCACTTATTGCAATTATTTTCTTCCACTTGTGGTTTGTCTTTTCATTTTTTAATGTTGCCTTTTAACAAATAGAAAATCTTATTTTTAATGAAGTCCTACCTATCAATTTTTCCTTTGCCACTAGTGCTTCATATGTTCTATTTAAAAAAAAAAA